GCAGAACTTTCTGCGAGCCCAGCTGCGTCAACTTTGAACTTCCCTATTGTGGCGCCCATTGTAGCGCCCATTGCCAGCGTTGACCCTGGTCCTCGTCTACTCCGAGCTCGAGCCGTCTTGCGTGTTTTTACCCCACTCCTTTTGGCACCGATTTCTTTTGGAGTTGAACATGAATCGTCACGTAGAAGTGGTTTGCTCTTGATCTGACCCGTTGAGTGGTGCTATCAACACCATGCCAGTTATTTAAAGCTTGAGAACACTGGAGGGGTATACTTGGTGTGATTTATATCTCTATCTATTAGGTGCGTTTCATGGTGCTCTGGGAGCGTGTCTCTGGCTGTTCTCCATCATTCAAAGTTTCATTTCCTTCCCAAGCCGTCTGGCGTTGCTATCGCGCCTCAAACATCTGAATATCCATTGGCTCGCGTCTGGACTCTGTGCTCTGGATATCCATCAGCCCATTCGATAGAACGCACCTTCGACGTACAAGCCCTTTTATATCTCCTGTGCATTGCTTCTCGCCCTCGCACTGGTTGGCTGAGATCCCACCGCTTCTACACGCAATCCGGCCATCTCAGTTTACACACACTTATTCCGCCTCCATCCCATGATCACCGGTGATCGGTGGGCAACTGGAAAGCCGTCCCCAGGGGCATGTGGCATCGATAGCTGAGCCCATGCATATCAAGAAGATGTATTTGTTCATCACGCGGGTCTCTAAGAAGAGTCTTCTGTCCCTGGCGCGTACTCACAGGCTATGGGAGAATGGCGGAATCAATTCTGCTTTCCCGCTGCTGCTCTCGGTCTCGTTCCGCCACTCTTTTGCCGACTGTCTTTCCATTAAATGTGGAGCCTAAAGGGGCGCTAGGGCAGACTCACCAGTGCATCCTTGTGCCTTTTCTGTATTCATGAGGCGGCTCGAGGGTGCTCTGGGCTGAAATCAGACATTGTCTTATCGTGTTCAGGATGGACTTTCTCTCAGGCTTGGACGTGAGACTGCAGCACAATTTGGAAATAGCTCTCGGTACTTTTGGCTCATGTCCTACCCTCTAGACCGTTGTAAAGCTCAGCAGAATCAGACGGCCCTGATGTCCTCACTACCAGCGGTTTCTCAAGCATCATCCAGGTATTCTCAGTATGAATGCTGCGTGATGCCTTGTCTGAGGGACAGGCACCTTCGTCCATCTGTCACAGTCAAACTTCAGCGTGTACCAAAGTAAGTTTTCAAAAACTTCGCCCTAGATCCATTTTCTGTTGGTGCGAGCCATGATAACGCCTAACATTTGTGATGAACTGCAGCACCGCCCCGGACGGTGTTCATACCAATCAGGACGGGATAGGTTAGATGGCCAAGTTAGCCATGCTTTGTATCAACGCCACGAAGGCCACCAGATCCGTGCCGCCGGCCAGGCTGAAACCCTCTCCGGTGAGTTTTTTTATGATGTCTCTTCGTGTGTCTAGCTTTGTTGTATCATTTATCGGTTCCCTTTTTATCGACTTCATCGGAGATCTGGCTGTCAATGAGGTCTGGAATGCCGTTTCTGAACGCCGATGCAGATGCATGGAGACTGTCAGTCCGTTGAAGGTGATTGCTGTCTTAGCAGATGTGTTTGGGCAGTCATCGTGATGAGTATTAGCAGTTATCACAGTATGCGGCGTGTATGTGGCGCAGATTCCTCACGGTGTCCTTCATGCTTTCATGCCCACTACGCTGTCTGCAATTGTGGGAGATTGTCGGAGGCAGTCTAGCAAGGCAGCCGGAGTCGGCTCGTCAAGTCCAGCCATGATGCATGATGTATGAAAGGATTGACGCCAACACTCATCATGGGAGCGACCTTTGCCTTGGGTTGTATTTCCGTGATTCTCGGCGGCTATTCGTCAGCACCGTCCATCCGGCTCTCAATGATCTGTCAAAGTGTGCGCGCTCAGAGCTGATGCGTCGACAGAATGGGCCAACTTGGCTGCCCGTATCAAGGTCCCTGGATCATTGCGCAGATTTGCGGAAGCTGTCTACTCCCTGCTCTGCTCCAGTTAAGTACTCGTCCTCCAGATCATCCACCACTAGCATATCAATCATTGAATCACTCCGAGACTCGCGATGGGCCAAGTAGCACTGATCCCCGCCAATATCGCTACAGTATGCGTTGAAAGCTTCCTCTATGGCATCTTCTTCGTCCTCTCTACGGTCTCTTTGTACTTGCTCATCAAGCGTTATCGGGAGCTCGGCGGACAGTTTAGTGGTGGTCCTCACCCATGGACACCGATCATGACCTTTATTGTCGCCAATATTGCATTATTCATATCTAATACAATTGTGAGTTGCGCGGACTCTAACCTTGCAGAGATGACTGACTGGTCTCGTATAGCATTGGATTCTCGTCGTGATACGCATATTTATGGCATTCGTTACTTATCCACAAGGTCCTCTGCTCTTCTATGCGGACATCGCTCAGCCGTCGGAAGTGGTTCAGAGCGGCGCGCTCATATTCACAGCGATAGTGAACGATGCGATGATGGTTGGTCTAAGTGCTATTCCAACTGCAGAAACACTGATCTAGCTTGCTTGGCCATGTTAGATATATCGCATGTGGATTGTATGGGGCTACAGCAAGCGTGTCGTCGTAATCCCCCTGTGTACTCTTGTCGGCTTGACGGGTATGTTCAGGACAGGATAGTAGACGAGTTGCCGACTCACCTTCCGCCTAGTGTGCGGGATCGCCGTCGTGTATCAAATGACTCGGTTCCATCTCGGCCAGAATATCTTTATAACAGACCTGGGCCGATGGCTGACGAGCAATTCGGTGTTCACGCTTTGGTGCGTCATTGCGTAATTCTCATATCGCGAACCGCTCCTAATGTCAGCTATGTAGCACGAACCTGTACTGCACGTGTGAGTATCTTCAAATTTACTCCTAGGAAGTATTTTAAGCGCGTACAAAAACAATGATCCAGCTATGATTGCGTGGCGAATCTGGCGCATCAACGATACAGTCGAGGGACACAAGAGCAATAACCTCATGGTGAGTAGCAACATTACTAATGTGTATAATGGCTCAGAGATATACGTCATTTAGTCTGTACTCGCCATCATCGTTGAGAGTTCTGCCATTTACACGTACGTTCAAATTCTGCATATTTTCCCTCTCTCTGAGCACCTGAACAACGTCCGATAGGATCTGGACGATCTTCTTCCTGGTCACCTACGAGGTCGGCTCGAATCTGCAATTCCTGAGCAACCAGACACTCTCTATCGTCGCTGGGATTTCGTTCATGCTCGTCAACGTTCGCGTGGGGATGGGCTGGGAGCAGAAACCACCGCAGACCATCTCTACGTTCGCGGCCGCACAAATCACATCCAGGACTCTCAATCAATCGTATAACTTACAGCCCATGACGGTATGCATCTCGCAGGCGGTTGACTGTGATGATGACCTCAGCAAATCGGCCTCGCAGTTTTCTTCCAAGGGTATGGAAACGTCTGTCTGATGGAGCAGAGGTGATCATCATTGGTTCAATTGTATGGGAAATTTTTGGTACTTTGGGTACTAAGTAGTTGTGAATTCGTATTTGACACGAGTATGTAATGAGATGTACCACATGAGAGATAGAAGTGTGCACAATCAGTGTTAATTCAGGAATGCTCTTTGATTATGAATGACAAAAGAGCATATAGCCCAAAAAGTTCAGCTGCACCATGCCAGTCTGACTGAACGCCGAGCCATTCGGCCAGCATATCAACCTTCGCCTTCCGAGTCGAGTGTCGAATTCTCATCTGCCTTCTGCCGTTCGTTCCCACATCCACAATCAATCTCGTCGTACTCTTTTGGCTGTGATGAACACTGCGGGTGATGATCAGACTAGCAAATTACAGGTCTGGTGTCCACTGGGTGAGCCGCGGGTGACGGAAGATGACTGGTATAGTAGTACTTGACAGCTTCTGTCTGCTATAAATTGATCCATGCCTTACTTCTAGACCTTTGCAGCATATCCCCACTCTGAAGGGGGTCTCTCGCTCTCTGTTGACCGCGATGTTGCACCTCCCAAACAAGCAGGGCGTAAATTGCCCAACCTTCAATCCTCCGACAGCGCTCCTCCAAAGCCAGAGTCTCACAGTCATCGAGCTCTATGAGTGGACGGCGGAGCATAATCCCGAACACCCCATGTTCACCTATTATGATGGGGAGCGGCGCACGACCTTATGTGGCCCCGACGTTGTGCGGGCGATGAAGCGAGCAGCCAACAAGATCGTTCGTCTCGTCGATAGAGAAGTCAACAGTGTTGGCGGCGCACCACCTGTCATCGCGGTTCTCTCCATCAGTGGTGGGCATATATGCTCTGCTCCACGTTTCATTTAATCTTATATCACTGTATGCGACCAGACACTATCTCGCAATACTGTTTCATTGGCGGGATGGTGTATGCGGGCTACACCGTCTTCCCGATCTCGCCCCGAAACAGTCCCGCTGCTGTAGCGCACCTCCTGTCCAAGTCGAATGCATGTTGCGTATTCGTCAGCACTGAACCGGCCATCCAGAACCTCGCCAAAGCAGCTATTCAAGACCCCAACTACGAAGAGAAGGCATTTGGGAAGCCGCCTATTCACCCAATTCCTCAGTTTTCAGACCTTTTCCCGCCTGATCATGCGAGTGAGGTTGTCAAGTTCGAATATCCAAGACAGTATGGTATGGATACCCCTGCAATCATCGTCCACTCCTCTGGTGTGTGCTAAATCAAGACGATGTAGTGTAAGACACTCACCGGCTGCCTCACAGGGTCGACGGCATTTCCGAAAACGATTACATGGACGCACAGGCACATGCTCGAGGGCGCCCTCATTCCATGTGAGTACATGCGCTGTGATTCTAGTCCACTCGGCACTTACTGTAAGCAAGGGTATGGCGAGGTTGATCTTGCTGGAGTGGTGATGGGTTTCCATTCGCTGCCCCTGTTCCATGGCCTTGGATTACTCCACATATGCTTTCTTGTGAGCATGTCCAGCATGCCTTGACTTTAGACGAGTGACTTAAACCCTCCCGCAGCCCTCGTGTGGCATCATACTGGCAACATTTCCGCCCGCGAACCCCGCCACTATGCCAACGCCGCAAAATGTTTTTGATGGGGTCCAAGGTACTCAGAGCGAACTCGTATGTTGTGTACCGGCATTTATAGAGGTAGATTTTCTGCATCGGTGCTTGAAGAGCAGGAAATGATTACATAAATAGGCCTGGTCTCATGATCCGAGCAAGGTGACTTATATGAAGGGGATGAAGGGCATTGTGAGTTGCTTGGAGATTAGATGAGATGTAAGCTACTGACGCTGCTCACCTAGATCTATGGTGGTGGCCCACTCTCTAGGGAGGTTGGCGATAGACTATCTGCAGAAGGCATAACTATCCTACCACAATTCGGCATGTGGGTGCCTCTCGTTTTACGCTCCTTAAGGTAGCTGATTCATCTGCGTTTGTCATAGTTCTGAACTAGGTGTCCTGAACACGTATCTTCCAAGTGAGCGCACTTATTCGAGTCCAGTGTAAGATCCAATGTGCGATGTTGATATCGGCAGAGCCTGGCGGAGCAGACTGGGAGTATTTCACCTTCTCTGGAATTTGCAAATCTGAGTTCATATCCCACGGCGATGGAACGTTCGAAGTTGTCGTCGTCGTAGGTGTCCAATTTAGTGGTCATGGTCTACCTGGCTCATAACACTGTTTAGTCTCATGATCTACTTCACCCAAGAATCATTAATACAAAAGTTGGGGACACCGATGCATACGCCACGAATGACTTGATACAGCCGCACCCGACGAAAGAGGGATATTGGAGGGTATATGGAAGGACGGATGACCAGATCATGCTGGCGAATGGTGAAAAGGTGCGAATAGTCGTTCATAGGTTGGCAAGTTAGACTAATACTTAACATTCAGACCAATCCTGGTCCAATAGGTATTTCATTTCGCGGGAGAATGGAGTCGAAGCTCACCATTAGACAGAGGATGCGCTTTGTAGGGATCCTCATGTCAAGGGCGCAGTGATGTTTGGGCGCGGAAAGTTGCATAACGGCGTAATCATTGACCCCAAGCCTGAATATGCGTTTGACCCAAGTGACATCCCTCGCTTAGAGCAGTTTAGGAATGACGTCTGGTACGCGGGCATCTACCCAAATAATCGCATACCATTGATCTGGAATGTACCTAGGCCCACCATCGAAAAGCTGAACCTGGCCGCTCCGCAACACTCACGGCTTTTCAAGGAGGTGTGTGATTTATAGCGAGTGGTCGTAACGAATCTAACACGCCAAAAGATGATTCTTGTAGTCTCACCATCCAAGCCATTTCAATATACTGGGAAGGGAACTCCACGAAGGCCTGCCATCTTGTCTGACTACGAGGCGGAAATACAGTCACTGTATGATTCTGTTGACGAGACCATGCAGAGCAAGATTCCTGTTCCAAGTAGCTGGGATTTGTCGCATATTACAGAGTTCGTCGAGAAGACAGTAATCAGTGTCATGAAAAGTCCGGTAGCAGCTGATGACGACCTATTCCAGCATGGCTGCGACAGGTGAGGATTCGAGCTGACTCACTCACACGAACTAATGCAGATGTGATCCTGATAACGATATAAGTTTGCAAGCGACGTGGATTCGCAACACCATTCTGCGAGCATTACGCCAACACGACCCAGTCGCCCCAAACCGACTATCGCCCACATTCGTATTTGAAGAGCCCAGCGTCGCGAAGCTATCCAAGCTCATTTGGGATGTCGTGCATAGCCCCGATCGTCCAAAGGAGACTGATCATATTAAAGAAATGCAACGCCTAGTAGATGAGTACACTCGTGGGTACCCTACGAGACCGTTGTTACTGCACCCCCCTTCTCAAGGTGCAGTCGTGCTCATCACCGGGACCACTGGCGGCCTCGGCAGTGACACTCTTGCTCACTTGCTCGAGGACAAGAATGTTGAGCGTGTATATGCGTTCAACAGACAATCTCGCGGCGCGGCTAGTAAGCAGCGGGAAGCCTTTCTTCAGCGGGGTCATGACATGCAACTCCTACAAAGTCGCAAGTATGTGCCCATCGAGGGCGATACTAGTATTTCCGGATTTGGAATCGATCCGCAAAGGCTGGATGAGGTGGGTATTTTCATGTGTCTGGCCAAGTGCGTTCCGCTGGACTGAATTTGGGATAGATTCGTAATACGACGACCAACATTATACACAATGGTACGTTCCCGTCGCTACTTGTGACAAGTGGTATCGTTCACTCTGACTGGTTCAACAGCTTGGAGAGTCGACTTTAATTTGTCGCTGTCATCGTTTGAGAGTAATATCAAATCACTACGTCACCTTGTCGATCTTGCTTTGACATCTCCGCTCACAACGCCTCCTCGGCTGCTCTTCGTCAGCTCTGTGGGCGTACTATACAGTGAGAAAATTCTTTTGAACAGCTCATTGCCCACTATCTGACTTTCCCTCCTCAGATGCTTCTATTCATGGTGAGGCTCCGGAGGTCCCGAACGACGATCCCTCCACTGCCGTCGGTACCGGATATACTGAATCTAAATGGGTCGCCGAGCGCATATTGCAGGTTTTATCCAACAAAACAGAGCTGAAGCCTGTTGTCGTACGCGTAGGACAAGTCTCCGGAGATCGATATGGTCACTGGAACGAGCGTGAATGGTTCCCCTCCCTGGTCAAGTCGGCGACATTCCAGCGCTGTCTGCCTCGCCTCGACGGAGTAAGATGATCGATCCTTTTATAACAGACACGAATCGCTGATGAGAAACTGGCTCTACAGACCGTATCCTGGATCCCGGCGTATGACGCAGCAAAGGCGTTGGTACAGATGCGCGATTCACCCCACCCTGTTCTGCACCTCGCCCATCCTCATCCAGTGACCTGGAACAGCCTGATTGCTCCGATAGCCGACACTCTCGGGGTCCCACTGGTGTCGTACGGCGAGTGGCTGGCTGCTTTGGGCAATAGCTTCACCCCAGGGACCAGTTCAGAAGTGGAGATGCTGAGGAAGAACCCAGCGCTACGTCTGTTGACGTTCTTCCGTGGTTGCAAAGTCGACGGCGGGAAGGAGCCGTTGGGAGCGACGAGACTCGCGACGACGAAAGCCGTTCAAGTCGCTCCTGCTTTATTGGTACCGGAGACTGACGTACAGACAGTGCAAACTTGGATAGCTGCCTGGCGTAAATCGGGATTCCTGCCTCTTGACGCCAAAGCTTGATCATTTCTGTAGTCCGACAGGTTTGCATACAGGAAGGGGCGAAGATTGTACTTTGTATTACCACCTGTCGCTTACTTCGCAATTTTATGAACGTCTTCGCGCCATCACTGCGTGGACCGTCATTTGATTTATGACACAGCTAGTTGCGAAAAATTCGTGTTGACAGAAGACATAACTATGTACTTGAGCAGCCTCCAGTAATGACTATGAACAAACCCTACTCATGAGATGTCCCTTGACACAGGGTATATACAATGCCAATACTTGTGATCTATATCATAATGCTTGAGGACCGTAATGTAGTGATAACCTGCGAATTCCAGTCCGTGGTATAAGCACATACGCGACCGTCAGACAGGGAATGCTATAAGTAATTTTGGTCGACCCGTCCACGAGTCATGGCAGCATACGCACCCCGCACCTGCACCTGCCTAGCACGGCAGTGCGCCACAGCAAAGACAACGCGTCGAAAGCATAGCGAAACCAAAACGACCCCCCGCCGACTATATTAGACAATGGACTTCACCAGCAACCCCTCTAGTCGGCAGTACTCGGGCACGATTGACGCGTACGACATGAACGCATCGACATCCGGCTCGGCGACCTTCGCAAGCCCAAGTTGGAGCTCCGCCTCAGATGTTGGCATCGCCGTGACCGGTGTGAGTGCCGCCGGAGTTGACGCAGCGGCCTCCATTGACGCACCCTCTGGACTGGCATGGCCGACGCCGCTGAGGTCTGGCGTCGTGAACGCCGTCGAAGGCGGCTCCAGGGTACTGGCGGTCATGGCAGAACCCGTAGTAGAGCCCGTCACGGTTCGCATCCGCGTAAAGTCTGACTCGCCGAAGCTAGAACCAAGTCCAAAGGAACTCTGCATTCCGCCAATCCTGTCCATCTCTTCGGCCTCCTCTTCCTCTTCCTCTACGAGAATTGTCGCACCGAGCGTCGATCTCGGACCGTGGCCATACGGAGTGCTTGCACCGCTCCCGGTAGCACTTGGGGCCTTGCTGCTGGTCTCCGGGGCGTTGATGTTCGTCCTCAATGATGCACCGCCTGTCGAGGCCCAACGCTTAGCGAGAAGACGTCGGATCTCCTCCTCAAAGCCTCCACGACCGGTGCCAGCAGGTGTGCCCTTCTCCTTTCCCCAGACCCAGCGGGCGACATATGATCCTCCAAGTGCCGCTCGTGCGGGGAAGCCAGCAGGGGGCGCATTGCGGTGTGGCACAATTTGCGCTCCATCAATTTGAGTTGTAGGGACGATGACAGGCGCGTTAAATACGTCCCCAACGAGGTTTGCAATGGATGGGAAGTTCGCGGCCGCGCCCGTCGAGATGATGCGGGACGGCAGCGGGGTGTAGTCGTATGGATCGAACAGGAGCCCTGAAGAGCTCGCGAAATTGTTCGCCGGACGTTTTGGCTGTGGTTGCCCGGTGATGGGGCCCGGCGATGCACCACGACTACGCCCAGCGTTGTTACCTAGAACGCCTGTCGCAGTCATACGTGACCACCGTACGCGGAAGGACAGGATTTGGCTCTCCAAAAGACATCGGGGGTTGGCCCGCAGATCGCGGAATTCATTGACCTTGACACCTGTCTCGAATCTAAAGATCCCCTTAACATGTGAGAATGGGTAGCTGTCGGCTTGTAAAATCCAGAAACTAAAGAGCTTGTCATCGAGACTATATGCGACGTCAAAGACAACACGATGTATTAGACACCTGTACGCACCCGATGGACCCCCCTGGTGGGACAATGGCAACCAACCGATCGAACGCACTCCAGCTTTTTGTGTACATGTCCCGTACCAACGCTCTGGGCACATCTGCATTCCTGCACAACGCTTAGCATACGATTCCCAACATCCCACTCTGATGAAACGGCGGGTATATGCGCAAAATGTCACACACCGGCTCGAGAGCATCATAACGTAACGTTTCCTCTCGCTGACATCTTGCGCAGGGTGAGGGAGCAGACTGTAAAGGCGCGTCGGTACATAATTGGCTGCTGGTGCAAGCATGGCATCCATTGGCCCGAACGAGAGGACGGCATCAGAAGGCGTAGGACACAAGGAAAGATATGTCGAGAGGTAGTCAGACGTGAAGGGAGTAATGATGGCCTCTGGGATTAAATAAAATATAAGCGTTGAATTTGAACGCAGCAGACCACCACGTACCAGGGTCAAACCCATATCGGTCCGTGAGGTAACGCGAGATGTTTCCAATCCTCCTACGCCCTCCTGAAAGGTCCACATCCCCTAACCAGCTCCATATCCGTCTGCCCTCATCTCTACTTCCACCTACGATCTCCAAGACACCTTCGTCCCAGTGGCTTTGCAGACCCGTGCCCTGCGCACTGGAGTGTGACCAAAGACCCGTGGCACACGCTTCCGCCTCGCCCATACTGACCAACGCGCCGCAAAGAAGACTTGCAAGGAACGAGCTGGCAACCTGCACGCGTCCCGTGCGGGTCCATACATCGGGCCACGCCTCGCGAACGCGGAGGAGCTGTGCAGCGAGAAGTGATGCGTGCGCACATGTCCCTACGCGCGCAGCCATCAGATCAGGCCCGCCCAATGCAGCTTCGAGGGCAAGCGCATGGGTGTGGGCAGATGTATCCTGCGCAACGGGCGCATTGGGCAGCGAGAATGACTGGGGAGGGATCTGTACGTGCATGGGCAGCCGCGGATCTAGCGCCTGTAACTGTGGCACCTGAGCGGCCTTCCACCAAACAAGCGCATGCTGCATCGGACGATATGAACGATGATCAAATCATATTGAGAAGGGGCGACACACCTGCGCAGCACCTCCGATGGCTTTGATCCTATGTAGGTCGTACCCCTTGCTTAGCTTCTCCATGAGCAAGTCTGTGCAAACGTTTCGGGAAGGTCGTTCGCACGATGGTCAGATCAGCGATTTGGGCTAACAACAAAAGAACGATTTGGTTCCGCGAAACACCACTCACCGAAAGCCTTAATCCACATTTCGACGGGAGTGGTGTATGCATCTCCCGGGGTCGTGAAAATGCCGCCTGTTGTCCTGATCAGAGGACGGAAATATCTTGAATAATTATTTTGCATTCAGATAGCAGAACGGACGCACTGGTACTCGGGCAGTTCAGAATCAAAATCCACGGCTTCCACTCCCACGAGCTCCAAGTTTTCGTCGACGATCGATGCACGTATCTGGTCGGTCGCGAGCTCGAGCCCCAAGAAGAGCGCGGACATGCTCTTGGGCGGCATTTTGACGGAGAGGTTTTCAAGAAAAACTGGCGGAGCAGAGGCAGATGTCGGGAGAAATGATAAGTCGTGATGTCCGTCGTCGTCGTCCAAGGGGTCAGCGAGGACGCTGCAGACGGTGGTCGTGAGTGAGAAAGGAAGGAAAGACGCCAAATGGAATCGAGACGATTCTCAGGCTGAGTCTGTTTGCGAGTCCATCAGCATGGCCCTGCTGCCGGCGCTCCCTCTGCCTCATGCCTCCCCTTCCCACGCTCCCGCGGCAATGACCGGCCCTCCCCTCCCGTAGGCCGCCTCTCCTCGTCTCTTTGAGTCTGACTCGGAGTCTGGATCTACCTGCTGCTGCTGCTGCTTTATGTTTCGATAGCAAGACAAGTATGCTAATTTCTGCTCTGACCCAGTGGTTCTGCTTGAGGGTTTTCGATGGTGACTGGTACAGGCCATCAGAACTTGCCTCCGAAGCTGGATTCATAAACACGAGGGATACATGCATGTGCCCAGGTGGAGAGCTAGATTACGGACCTGGGTACTTGATCAGAGCGGTACGTTTGCCGTGCAATAACTTGATACACAAGCTTCAATTAATTCCTTGCAGCGTGGGCTCAGAGTCAGAAGAAGACATCGCCTTGCTTTAGCCACTCACGTCGAGTTTGGAGAATTTGTCCAGTGTTGCCCTGACAGTGCCAAAATTCTCAGCAATAATGGAAGAGAGAGAACCCCAGTGTATATGCGCAATCCCAACTCCCCTCGCTGCAACAGACGCCCACACACATGCGCACTCGACAGCGTCTATCAAATGCGACCATCACGCTCATGCGTACTGTATAAGCTGGGGGTTCTTACAGTAACTTCCGACCGACAGTTATTAGCCAACACTCGCTAACAGGGATTATCAGAGTGTAGACGTACTAATTCCGGCGTGCTATGTGCAGCTATGCGCGACCTAGAGATACTCTTTGATGTGCTCGGGCGCGGCACAGAAGGGTATCTTGTGGGGCTGAAGTAGCAGCTTGTCATTTATGTTTCTGGAAGATGTCGTGCCGGACGAGTTATTTGTACCATCGGCCGCAACTTGAGGTAGCCATCGAGCTGGTAACAATTTTCATAGAAACTTAGTGATACGAGCTTCCAAAGCCACGATGTTGTCCCTGTAATGCGAGGGTCAAGCAAGTTGTCGGAGGCGGTTATCATTCTGAAGCTGAAGGGCTTGAATCAATTCGCGTTTCAAAGCTCACGCCACCAACGCGACGCGCGTCAATCACGTGGGCGCGTTATAGCGCCAACTGAAAGTAGAATACAGAATTCAGCTTGGCAATTGCCTGCAGCCCATCCCAGAAGTCCAGAGTTTCTATATTGCCTGAACTGTGACCGACAATAACTGGAAGTTGAATCATATCTTCCAAACGATGAAAAATACATCATTCCGACCGCTACAGTTGAAACAAGGCTCATCGGACAATCACGAACTTCTACATATCGAACTCGTTACTATCATTACAAGCTACGCGTCCTTCACTTCATTGAGCTCATGCGCTAATTTGACGACGTCATTCTTTCGAAAAGCTAATGAGAAAATGGACGGATTCAAGAACAAGAAACAAAGCTTACGCCGTCGCGGGATATCTTCACCGCTGGGTCCCCCTCGCGAGCATTTCGAGAGACAGTGTTCCCCTATATGGTGTACGCAAATTTGGACTTTGGGTTCGCAAATATTGCCACAGGAATATACCTTATTGCTTGTCACCTCCGCCTTGCCTTCTTCTACGATCTCAGCGACTTTTCCGCTAGGGTTTCCGCCTCCCCAACGCCACCTACGATGTGAACAAGTCGTTCCCTGGTCAGTACGTTCTCACATGGAGCAAATTATGACATACGAGACATCCTGTCCTTCTTCCAATTTGTCGGTCATTGTCTAGATTCCAGCTAGTAACAGGTAAGGGAGAGGACGAAGAAGTAGAATGAACCCGTATCATGAGCTTCGACCCTTTAAGTACCATCTTTGTGTTCTGACGTCAGTAGCCGCGAGCTGTCATGACATGGCCAGGTGAGGACTTTGACAGCACTGGTCTCCAGGAATGTACTCACGTGCGGGACTCCAGAGCAGTGGATGACAGGGAAGTTCAGTCATGAAAGTGAGATAATCGTCCACACAGTCAGAATCCACAGAAGACCTAGTCCATTTGGAGGCCAGGTTGCCCACGCAGTGTCGCGCATTCATGTAAGAACCAGAGACAATCGGCCTCAACTAGTTGAACCTGATATAGATATTATGGCCAAAACAACAGTGATTTGGGTGGACACGGTCCTGCGCATAAGTGCAACATCTCCAAAAGCTTCCTGGAACCTGGCGGACTAATGGCTGTTGCTTCCTTCACCCCGACCACGCCATGAATATGTCTGGACCAGCGGCTGTGCAAAGCCGACGGTGGAAGCTTGAGTGAGGACTCAGCCTGATAGCGTATGTTCATAAATGTCTTGGCTTAAGGGAGGAAGGACTCACGTCCCGTGTTGCATGGCTTTCATGATCAACTATGTGCGGTTTCTGTCAATACTGGTTGGCCCCTCTATCGCGCGGGCATTAAACCCGGCGCTGACGAATGCGGCATTCTCGTCATCCATGGATGCGGAGCATCACGACCTCGACGGGACGCTGGTGTATGTACTCCTGGCGGGACTTGCGCTCGCTGTACTGGCATTGGCTATGCTGCTGCTTGAGGTGGTTTCAGGAGACAACGAGAAGGGAACATGATGATGCACCCCGGGAGACTGCAACAAAAGCATGGCTCAGCATTCATACTTGTCCAAAGTTTGCTCAATAGCCTGCACCATACATCCTTGCCTGCTATATGCAGAATTCATCTATTCCGTCCCAGGAGGTTCGAGGTCTGTGAATGGTGCAACTTCTTATGGTGCGACTAGCACCGGTAACCTCATGCATTCATGCACGCGGCGTCCTCGACGTGAACTCTCGCTGCATCAACACGCATTGCCTTGAGATAGAAGTGCACTTCTAATTATCCCAACCCGTAGTCCGTATGGGTTACATCGCACCATCGCCTCCGTCGCGAACACTTACATTCTGCCACCAAATTTCCGACGTTACATTTCTGGTCCTTTCCTTTCAGTGCTCCTCAGGAAGTCTCATCTCGATGACGTGCATAGAACCGCGGCACTCCCAAATTTTAATAACAGTGAGGCCCGCGCGCTCCGCGAGCCCATGCAGTTGATCAGGTGTACGCTCCATTCCATTCATGAGTGACATGATATCGAGGTCGTCCATAATACTGAACATGTGCGCAATGCCGTAATTCGCAGGAAGAGGCGGCGGAGCTGATTTGAGTTGCCCCGATTCTACCGTCGGATGCAGGACGTGGTCTATGATCAGGATACGCGAGCTGGGGGTCATGGCGTTCTTGAGATGTTTCAGAATGATAATGCAGTTCTCATCTGACCAGTCATGCCTGAGCCGGTTTAACATATCAGCTGGGGACAGTTGTGATGTCTTCCAAAACGTACAAGATGCGACGCAGGAGGTATGCTCCTGCTCCTTTTATGGCTTGAGCAGTAAAGAAATCATGGGGCATGAACTGGACGTGTCCCATCTGGACAGCTTCGGGCAATTCTTGCGACCATACCGCTGGTGCTTGTTGGAGTACGTGGTCGATGTCCTGCACAATGAATTTCGCGTTCGGAAGCTTCCTTGCAAGCTCAAGAGACATAGAACCTCCATTTGGTTGAGATAGATGTTTGAGCGTATGAGGCAAGACGTACCTATGCCCCCTCCTACATCTACAATGGTGGTCCCGTCGAGAAGGTGAA